TCGGAATAGCATTTCTCAGAAGTACTCTCTTCCCCTCTGGGCGGGGACCTTGGCCCAGATCCTTAAGCATAATTAGGTTCCTAACTGCCACTGAAATTAGAGTGTCCTTGTGATTGTATTTGTCTGTATTTGCAAAAAGAAAAGGAGGACTTGTGGCACCTTAGAGACTAACCAATTTATTTGAGCATAAGCTTTTGCTGTAGCTCACGAAAGCTTATGCTTAAATAAATTGGTTAGTCTCTAAGGTGCCACAAGTACTCCTTTTCTTCTTGTGATTGTAGATATCTCTGAAGCTCCATGCACAGCTAAATAAATAAAAAGTGCTATATAAATAAAAAGATTTCCCTCTGACCTGGTGTACAGTAGGTCTGTTTCGGAATAGATTGCGCTTCATTACCACAGGAAAATTCTCTCCATCCGTCTGTCCATCTATCTATCTTTTCACACCCTGCCCATCACATACTGGGATTGAGTGCTGGGTCCAATGAAAAGCTTCAATTCCATTACATTAGTTTCCGGTGAGAGCAACATGCACCGTGAGAAAATGGCATCACCCCATCCAAGTTATTATTCCTGTAAGTACACATTTTCGTCTTGGAAAAACGTGCTTATCTGTATTAGTGCCGGGTAAGTGGTCATTAGAAGCTGCCACAGCCTGTTGCTTTTGCTGAATAAACAAACAAATGCTGTAATATTAGCATGAATGGAGGCTCTCAAAATGCTTCATTCTGGCAACTCTGCTGGTGGGAAATCCAGTCTCCTTTTGTCCCCATTGCTGCCCTCATTAAAATTCTTCTTGGACACAAAAGCACTTTGGGATGTTGAATCTGGCTGTGCAAATGGCAGGTGGCTTTGACGCGGCGCCCAGGGACATGGATGCAAAGTCCACGTGTTGGAACAGAACGTCATGCACATTGCTGTTTGACGGTGCCACATTTGTGAGAGACCTTAAAGGTACAGGTCACCGGGGAGCGTAAGCAGGAGGGGATTAGATCTTCTAGCTCCTGCTTGGAAGTGGCTTTGCCTGTTACATCTTCCTCCCTGCCAACCTCCTCCCCAGAAACTGAAATGGACAGAAAGGCTGTGCAGGAAAGATGAACGTAGTTGCACGGCAAAGCTTCTCATGGAGTCAGGAAAAGCAGCCAAGATCGAGCCCAATGTAGCCTGAATTCTCAAGCAAGATTGTTGGTACCAAAGGGTAGGTTACACAAACTGGGGAGCAGTCTTAGGCATGACCAAAGCAGATGGTTCTTAGGGTACCCCATCCAAAGGGGTATTGAATCGGCACTGCAGTCCCCATGGAAACTTGCAGACAAGTCAGTCGTAAATCACCGCTCTCCAGCATCACAGACCCTCCCTGTTGTCCTTCTCCATTCCAGCAGCATGTCACCTGTTGCTCAATCATGTGTCATTGGGTCTCTGACAGACCCCAGGACCTTTTGCTCTCAGCTCTCGGGGCACAACTGCAGCTGATGCAGTTGAGGGGGCAGGTGTTGGGTCCTGGGCTGCATTTTGGCATCTCCATGCATCTGAAGAAGTGGGTTTTCTACCCATGGAAGCTTATGCCCAAATAAATCTGTTAATCTTTAAGGTGCCAGCAGACTCCTCATTATTTTGGCCTAGAGGCACCTGTCAGATCTCACTGAGCAGAAAAAGGACAGTCCTTTCAGACTGTTAATACACTCCTTTCAGGGTTAATACAGTTGAGAGACTAGGTGAGTTACTGAGCTGGTTGCTTAGCGCACCCCCCCATTAAAGAGCACCAGGCACTGATGGGTCTGATGATGACAACCGTTAAGGTTCCATCTCAGAGTACTGACTAAGGAGGGACTTCCCTGGGAATTGGTTATCCAGCCCCTTCCCAGCTCAGAGGGCAAGGCACAGGCAGAGAGACAGATATAAGAGTGGCATGACCTCACTCCACTGGCAGAGCACCTTATATCCTAGTGGTTTAGGCATCTTCAGTCCCAACCCCAGAAGACACCTCAGCTCTTTGTAATATTGCTAAAGAAAAGTGCTAAAAAATCACGAGTCAGGCTCCACAAATGCGGAGATTGGGGTTAAAAATCATGATTATTAGTAATACTACCTTTGGAGCTCTGGTCATTCACTTTTTAGTTTTTGAGCTTGTAAGGATCACATTTTCAAGCTTTTCTCTGCAACCATGTGGGCTAAAATCTTCCTTTTCTTTTTTTACTGGGAGCTGAGATTCTGGTGTATTCACACGACTCCAGGAGCTGGGGCTTTAAGTACTATGAGACTCATTATAAAATCACAAGCATTGGTGACGCGGCAGTGGTAACCAATATTTTCCCTTTCCTAGTTAAAGCTCTAATTGCCAACCTCTTGTTCTTTTCCAGCAGCTGGTGGATTTATTCCTCATCCACACCCTCATGGTGGTAGCTCATCTTCACATGCTCTAAAAGATAGTGTCTTGTTATTAATTTCACTCTGCAAGGAGAAAATATCTACCTATTAAAGTGATCAGGCAAAGTATTGGTGGGGGAGTGTATTTTTTCCTGAATCTTCTTAGAGGCCACCTTTTATTCTGTTTCCTTGCTTCTCACTGGCTGCTTAAGAACAAAACCAGACCAAATCACAGGGGCTAAAGGGATGGCTGCAAAAAATACTCTGTAAAGATCTTGGTAGACTTTGTACTTATAGGTCAGAGGGAATCTCATAAAAAGTTCTCTCGTGTCTCATGACTAGTGCTTTTTGGAGGATGGAAGTTCTATTTCACAAAGGATTTTGAGATTTCCAAATCTGATATCATTCGAAATTGGAGCAAAAACTGAATATTTCCATATTCTCCACAAAAAAAATTCTGAGAATAAATATTGTTTCCGGTTGATTGAAACATTTCATGTTGATTTTGACTTTTAATTATTTTTTTTTAAAGTCTTTTCAAAATGAAAAATCAAAAGATTTTGTCCCCAAAATGTTGCAATGGGCTATTTTGACTGTGTTGGAACTTCCCCTCCCTCCCCCATTTTTCTTCTTAAATGAAAATTCTGACAAAATTAACCTGATTTTGTGAACAGAACTGCATATTCCAATGGAATATGGTTCCACTGAAGTTTCTCCAGCCCGCTTTATTAATGACAGTTACTTTGTTATGTACCACTCTGGGGTAGAACTTTGACTTTGAATAAAAAATCATTTAATAAATATATTGGAATCAAATCACAGGTTTGCCCTAATTAGAGATGGAAAAGGCCCACTATATCAACAAAGCCAGGATAACATAACACAAGAACTAGGGGTCACCAAATGAAATTAATAGGCAGCAGGTTTAAAACAAACAAAAGGAAGTATTTTTTCACACAATGCACAGTCAACCTGTGGAACTCCTTGCCAGAGGATGTTGTGAAGGCCAAGACCATAACAGGGTTCAAAAAAGAACTAGATAAATTCGTGGAGGATAGTTCCATCCATGGCTGTTAGCCAGGATGGGCAGGTATGGTGTTCCTAGCCTCTGTTTGCCAGAAGGTGGGAATGGGCGACAGGGGATGGATCACTTGATGATTACCTGTTCTTTTAATTCTCTCTGGGGCACCTAGCATTGGCCACTGTTGGAAGACAGGATACTGGGCTAGATGGACCTTTGGTCTGACCCAATATGGCCATTCTTATGTTTTTATGATACAGTGTCCCCTGACGGAGGGATATTAAAACTGAAAGAATTCCCAGTTCTCAGTCACATATCTGATTCACAGGACATCAATGTACTCAAAAGTCTGCTGCTGATGCTGTGTAATAAAAGGCTCCTTTCATGAGATGAGGTTCCTGATCTTAAGGGACGTGAAACAGGGTATCTGCTGATTCCAGACCCAGCTTGTCTGGTTGAATCCTTCCCCGCTCTGATCAGCAGTAGCTTTGTGCAGAGGGGAAAGGGCAATGTTCTGCAGCCCCTTGCTCATAATTACTGTTTTTATTACAGTAAAGGCTAGACGGGCCAACTGAGATCAGATTCCGACTGGATAGACAGACAGCACTGGATAGTCTTTGACACTGAGAAGTTACGATCTAAACATGAAAGACAGACTAGACAGAGGGGGAAGTCGAGGACCAGAAATTGTGGCCAATTTCACACAGCAGGTCAGAGTCCAGAACAGAACCCAGGTTTCATGAATTCCAGGCCAGCGCCCAATCCACACTGTCTTGTCTTTCACCTCTCACATGTGATGTAGGGGAGAGAGGCACAAAACTAGCCCCTCTGGCGCTGAGAATTCTTTTTCCAGTTTGCCATGCAGTATTGTTGCAGTTCCCCACACGATTCCCGTTCCAGTTGTGCTGACATAGTCACATGCTGCTGCGCCGTGGTGTTCCTTTGGGATGTTGGGTTGTCGCCACTGTACCCTGAAAAACCATGAAGGATTGCTCTGGGTCATCCAGGGTGTGAGCTGGATGTGCTGTGTACAGTAGAAGGGCCTGAAATGCAACGTCTGTATCAGAATCTGCACCCTCCCCAGGTTCAGGGGGTTCACCTCTAAGGTTGGTTTCAGCCCCATCATAGAGACAGGACTAGCCATGAAGTCTGGAGCTGGTATCAGTAGTGTTCTGACCCGGAGTTTTGGTTCCCACACTATTCCTTTATCAAGATGTACAGAAGTTGCACAGTCTGCTGAGACAGGCATCCTGCAGCTGCATTGAGAAAATACTAAGAAGTGCTAGGATCCAGGCCACCCATGCCCTTTGCCTCCTTGAGAGAGTCACATTCCTAGGAGAGAGGACAGTAGGGTTATAATCTCATGAGGCCTTCCCTACACAACTAACACACTTTGAGAGAGCCGTCCCTTAACGTCATTGTATAGTGTCCTGTGGAGGGAACACCCTCCCACCCCTTGTAGAGAGGGACCCCTTTTTGAAATGACAAAACCAAGCCAAAATCTTTGCAACTATGTGTAAATAAAGGAAAGACAAAACCAGCATAAAAAAAAAAAAGCAGCGACCACCAAACGATATAATGATTTTTGTTTCTAAATTTTATTCTGTTACAGGGATGGAGCACCATCCATCCCGGCCCACAAGACTTCTGGGAAGCCAAGAAGAACAAGGTATTCCCATTTCAATATTACCAGACAAGCTGCCATGCAGCTACCAAGTTTATATATCTATATATCTAGAGTTAAAACAGCCAGCGCCAAAATCTAATTGCAAACTGCTCCATGTACTCTGTCAGCAGGCAGTGCCTTTTCCCCTGTGATTAGCCCCTAGGCCAGGCGGGAGTAGGGAACAGATTCAGCAACAGTATCCCAAGTCTACATGACTAGGGCTTCTCTGACAGCCACTAAAGAACTTGTCCCTGGCACCCTTCTCCCAGATTGCATGATAATAAGCAGTCCATCTGCTTGACTCCCAAAACTAGCAGATCCATCTGTATCCTCAGCTTTCCCTCCCAGCTACCTCCTAGTCCCCCCCAGTTCAACCCACCCCATTGTGTTCTCTGCACGTAAAAAAACAAATGGATCCCTCCCTCTTTCCAAACACACACGTTTCGTTTAGAACATCTCTCTCCTGTGGACAAGGGTCAGCTCTGGTTAGGTTTCTCCAGGCACGTGGGGGAGGGGGAAGGATTCTCGCCCATGGCTGAATAGCGGCAGATGAACATACTGTAGAGATCTCCGCTGGAAAGAGCTTGGGGTTCCAGGATGGAGAGGGAAAAGGAAGCAAGGAAGAGCTGGTGGAGTAGAGGTGTCTGCATTAAGGAAGCCTGGGACTGAAGGGTTAAACCCAGTCCCTTCATCAGGTTTGCTTGCTCCTTGCAAAGTGCAAATTCTGTTTCTCCCTCTCTCTACCTCTCACCTTCTCCTTGAAATTCTGAAGCATAGGCATATTACCTCACGCACTTGGTCTCTCTAATATCCTGGGACCCACCTGGCTGCAGCAACACTGCACGCTTGTGTAACTAGTCATCATTTTATAGCTGTAATTTGTCTTCGCCAGGGCACATCTAGAGATGCCGAATCCTCTTTATTGTCAGTGATGATCATTTTTGTCTTAAAAAACAAGCACCAAACCTACAAAAAGTGCAGATCTCTGTGGCAGGGTCTAAAAGTCGTCCTCCGTCCGGCGGCTGTTGGCATCCTGCGTGAGACGCATTTGTGGGCCTCAGCGTAGAGCCTACGCGTCACAAATATCCTGGCTGCTAGTAGCTTAGCCGTTGGCAGTCTCAGCTGAGAAGCTACAGTATGAATGGGCCATGGAGGCAGAGCTCATCTCCCATCCGCAGAGGTCCAGACTGAGACGATATTGGGAAGTCTGCACTGCCCATTAGGGTGGATAAACTGAGGACTTTGGCTGACAGGAGTGTTGATCCAGCCCCTGGCATTCCAGTCTCTTGTCCATGCCTGCGTCCAAGCAGGGATCCTCTGGGAAGCATCCACTGAGTCCTTGGCCTCCTTGCAACAGCAGCCGTTGTCTGGGGTTTTTTTGCTCGGTGTTGCCTTCTGGTTCCTTCCTTTGACCCTGCCTTCCGTTGCCGTTTGGTCATTCTTTATGCTGATATCTGGTTTCTGTGGCCCCTCCCGCAATTGAGGGGGCGGCCTTTCGTTCTGGTAGGCTCCGCCCACCAAGCCCAGTCACCAGATAGGCCAGCACCTTGCAGCTGCACTACGTTCATACACAAAAGGTCGGAGGGGCTTAGGCTCTGCTCCACACAGAACACCACTCAAGGAGCTGCCGAGTACTTGCTGCTCTGTCATCTCCCTGCTGTGACCTATATGCAGCAGACACCCCAAGCATGTTCTCAACAGTAGTTAAAAATGCATCCGTGAGAGGAAAACAGCAATACCCCTTGTCTGTCTGCAAATAGCAGCCCATTGCCTGGTCTCTCCTCTGGACGTTCAGAACAGTGATGGTATGAAGAGCGTCCTTTGGGTCACTGGGGCACTAGTGCCCATGTTTAATCAGTTCCGTTTCCTTCACACTGCGTACAAGTCTCCTTTGATTGGTTCTGTTTGTTTGTTTGTTTGTTTTTTGTTGGCAATGCTGACCTAAAAAAAAATGGACCCTGTGGCATTTCTAATGAGCGTGCTTAACTGATTTCCATACTCGGGGCTCGGGGATATCACTTGCTAACACGTTCTCAGACAGGCCACGTGGGGCTTTAACATCCAGTGCTGAATCAATAGGGAATAGCTCTCCAGTCGATAACACAGCTTGGGAGGATGAGCTAATTATTCCGTGTGCAGCAGAGCGGTCCGGTCACTGCTTCATAGCTCAGCGCACATCTGCCTTTCGCCCATGGTGGGGCACTGCAAGGTTCCAGAGCTGCGGGACTGCTCCTTAGGAGCATGCCCTGAGCCCAGCACAGAGCCTGAGAGGCCAGGCAGTGTTGCAGGATGGAGGAAAGTGAGAGGAATTGCCTCACTCACTTGCAGGGCAAGGAGTGACTGCAGCATCTGCTGCAGCTCTGAAGCCAGCTATGTCGGGGAGAGCATGGGCAGAGCTGCATGGCAGCAGATCCCACCACCAACTATGCCCTGCCCCCTGCAATGACTGCATGCTGTCATACAAGGCAGGCGCTTGCAGGGAGCATTGTTCTGTGACACGCACAGCTCCTCTCTGCAGGAGTGCTCCACGGATTCTGCTAGAATGCTTTTGTGGCCACAGGGATGGGGCTGGAATGGTTGTTAAGGGGCTGTCCAATTTGAGCTTCAGCCCACTGCTGTGGCTGCCGCCACTGTCTCCGTGAAGTGCTGATGCTTTGAGGCCTTACAAGAAAGTTGGCTTCCCAGTCTGGGGCACAGGAGCAGCTTCTGCTGCAGAGATCCCTCATCCGGAAGTGTGATGTTGTAAAACTAACAGCTGCAGGTGGTGCATTGAACTGGGAGGGAGGTACATGTGCTGTGATTTGATTGTTTCGTTTTTTGGAGTGCCCCAGCGATGGGAGCGAACGTGCACCTGGAGGAGAGAACCCAGGCCATGTATCAATCTGGTTACGTGGAAAACCTTGCCTCATGTTTAGGATGGCATGGCTTCTGCTTCATTCTGTCCGCCCCTCAGGGGTGCAAATGTGCATGAGATGTGAAATCCAGCATGGACACACAATCCCAAACCTTTCCAGAGCAATCGCTGCTTTCGCAGTCATCTTTGGAAACCATTCAGGCTCCAACCCCCACTTTGTGTTTGCATATCCCATCGCTTCAGCATGCGGTGTGTCCCTGGGGGACGCTTGCATGAAAACAGGGGGGGTAAATTCACTGATACGTTCCATCCGCTTTGCACTGCCCCACTGACAGGACCCATCTGCAAACTCGGCTTTAGTGGCTGATGAAACCAAGTTGACAGCTGTTTTGCATCACTTGAGTGTACCAATGAAGGTGGCCTCAAATCTCCCTTTCTAAAGAGCTCACCTGCTGCTCTGGCCTAGTTCTGTATGATCTGGCCTCCCTCCGCACTAGTGCTCTGTCTTGTCTCCTGAGTGATCTCCCTTAGTGAGGTACCCCCTTCCTGAAGTGCCCCCACAATCAGAATGTTTTCCTGAATGTCTAAGATAAGTTTTCACTTTCCTGGTTTCAGGCCCATGACCTCCTTGTTAAATGATCTAATCCCCCCCCCCCCCATTCTTGTATGTTACCGCCTCTTCCCCCCGCAGGTTCAGCATGTCTCAAACCTGTGGCATCACGGTTTTGCATTCTGTGGCCCATCAGAATTCATGGTGACAGGGGAAAGAGAAATCTCCTATAAATCCAAACATTTACCCACAAGACTTGTCACTCAATTGCCTAGTAGCATAATGGTTAAAAAACAAAGTGTTGGAAGTGAATCCAGATGCGTGTTATTCTAGCCCTGGGCTTCTCTTGAGTAGAGACTGTTCATTGGGCAGAACTTTCTGATATGGGCAAGAATCCACTAAAGACTGGAATGAGACTGTTGTGCTAGTTTTCCTTTGTGACTTCGTCCAGATTTGCACCCACATGCGTGATGCGTTTCATCCTCGCTGCGGAGGGAGGTAGAATTCGGTGATGATGGAAAATCGTAGCTATCGCTTTTCATTGTTGTCAGACCTTTAGTTTTCACGTGGTTGGTAAGAGGAGCGGATGGAAGGAAGAGCTTACAAGCGATGGGGTGTGTGTTTGTGTGTGTGTGTGTGTGAGAAGCTGTGGTTGGAAAGGAGAGAGGAGGAGGTACCCATGTCAGAAGAGGTGGGGGAAAACCATATTCTGATATCGGGGAACTCCCTCTCTTTAAAACAGACCACAAAACAGATTATGCTACCCCGTCACGCCTTGTGACCCTGGAAGCTCTGAACCGGCAAATAAGCAAGTTTCCTCACTGGGAATTTAATGCATGGTTTCTGTTTTCATTTTGGACCGGGGGCATTTGATGACACCGTGCTACCTGCTTCTGCTAACCAGGTTCTGCTGGGCCAGAGCAAGCCTGCCTCAAGGGTTTAGACTTGGGTTGAGCAGAATTGAGAGTCGGCTTTCCACCAGCCATAAGCACAGACTGCCTGTGGAACAAACTTTTTGGTGTAGTGCTTTTCAGCAGTGATCCGTAATAACAACAATACTTATATAATCTCTCCCTCTCTCTGGCTTCTCTGTGTCTGTTCCATCTGTTGTCTATCATTTATATCATCAGCCAGATTCACTTTCTTCACTAGCAAAGCCTATTCAGGTGTCTCCCTGTCCCATCATGTTCTGTAAGATCTGCTCTCTCCATACCCGCATACAGCTTCTCATACCTGAGGGCATTTCAGTGGGTTTCCTTTGGGTCAGGATTCATAAATCTAAGGTCAGAAGGGACCACTGTGATCATCCAGTCAGACCTCTTGAGGTCATAGAAAGTCACCCAGTGACTCTTTCATTGGGCCCAATAACCTGTGGTTGAACTAGTGTGTTTATTTTAGAATGACTTCCAGTCAATGTAAAAACTCCTGATGAGGGAGAATTTAGCCTGTTCCCTTGGTAATTGTTACTTTCAGAGCAAGGACTTGTTGTCTGCACTCTTTCTTCGGAACTCGCTGCTATTGTATATTAGATCTTTGTAGCTTAAGTCATTGTTAAAATCCCATTTGCTCAGGGCTGCCTCTGTTGTAAGTTTTTAAATTGGGTTTTTGGCTTGCTCAGCGTCATTTGTAGCCAATTTATCTCCTGTAACATGCCCAAAGGAGTTCCAGTGAAGGGGGCCGCATCTGTGAGATTGAATGAAAGGTTGACATTATGAGCAATAAAGTTCTAGGCTTATGACAGTTGAGAGCGAGAGAGGCACCTCCGTCCCCCAGTAACAGGGAGATTCAGGGTCTAATGTCAGCCTATAAAAGTAAATAGAAAAATTCAAGTCAGACCAGGGCCAGATCCTAGGCTAATGTAAGATCAATTGGATCTATGCTGCTTTAGAACAGCCGAATATCAGGTTCTGACTCCCCACTTAGCAGATGTTGCATTGTGCCTTTAGAGATGTAGCAAACACAGTACAAAACTTTAGCTCAGTTTGCAAAACTAAGTACTTATTTTTACATAGCACCTTTTATCTCGAAGGATCCCAAAGCACTTTAGACACTATAGAGATATGTAGTTACATATATATCTATGTACAAGAATCACTTTGCCCTCCACAGAGGTGCATCCACCTCTGGGGTGGAATGTGATTGCTGTTTAACAGCAGAGTGACAACACTACACTACAGTTTAAGACTGGAGGCTAACGATAAAATTGAAAAGCATTTGCATGATCTAGATATAGAGGATGAGTTTAAGACTAACACGATTGCCATATTCTGTTGTGTAATCTTTTAGCATGTGTTTGAATTTCCCATATTTTTTGTTGTTTTATGTTGCCACGTGGCATGGAGCCAGTTTACCTGATAATCTGATTTAAAAGCTTTATTGTGTTACGTACTGTGCCGATTTCAATGGAACAATCTCTGTGTCCTGTTACTTCCCATTAGTGTCACATAATCAGCTTCATCCAGCAAAGAGATAATGGATTAGGATAGCTGCTAATAGTGTTTTCTCTGCATTACTGAGCTTCTTTCAATATTGAGCAAAGAGCTGGGTGAAATGATGCGGTTGTTCCTCATGGCAAGCAATGGACACTCCATGGCTGGAGTCATTCTGGACTAGAATGGGCTAGATCAGTGCTACTCAAAGTGGTTGTCCGCGAGCCATCAGCTGCCGGTCTGTGCGTACACTGGAAAAAAAAATGCCGGTCCCCCACATCAAATAGCTTGAAAAGCACTGGGCTAGAATGTACTGCAGGAAACAATTCTGTTCTAGGGAGTGGATGAATGAGATGTCTATTGGCTCTTTTCCATTTCTAAAGCTTGATTTTGTATTTGGAAAGATCAGCTAATGCAATTAGCTCCATAATGTGCTGCTTTCCTAGGTTATTGCCATTAAAACGGTGTGTGCTACATTTAAATGGGGACTAGCGTGAATGATAATAATCAATAATAACCCACTTATACAGTATTTTTCTTCTTCAGAGCACTTTTTCAGACTTTAGCTAAGTCACAGGCCTGTCATCCTTGTGAGATAGGTAAGATTATCCTCATGGCATAGATTTGGGGAACTGAGGCAAAAAGGTTAAGTGATAAGCCCTTGGTCCCAGAGGGAATCAGTGTCAGAGTAAGAACCAGAACATAGGAGGATCCTGTCTCCCAGACCTGAATTTAGACGACTAGGCCATACCTCTCTCAAGGGAAGAAGCATCTTTCAGTAAAGTATGTGGCATCTTATGTTGTCTTGGCAAATGAACATGTTATGGTCCAAGAGAGGCGTGGGGAAGCCAGCTCTCTGGAGACAGAGACTATAGGACTGTGCCGATACCTCCGGGCAGCAAACTGGGAATGCGTATTGCAGTTATGCCCCCCGTCTCCACATACTGGTAGACAGTGCCACGTGGCTGGCAGTGTTACTGCCTCAGAGGGGAGGAAGGGTTGGCACGCTCTGCATTCCCTAGGAATCCCCTTGCAAAAGGCCTTTCTTTCTTGATCTGTGGGAGGTCTGGTGGCTGCTCGGGCACTTTCCTGCTGGCGTCTTGGGATGACAGCCAGGTAGGGAGGCCTGGAAAACAAGGGCTTTTGCAGTGGCTTTTCCCATATAATTAAAGGGTTTGCTTTCCAGATCTGTTGCGTTCCCTGGATGTGGTGTGGACAACTCGGGAGGCATTCCCTTTCCTCAGTGTTTGTGTGTGACTCAGGGCTGGATAGTGCACTGTAAGGTTCCGATCAGCCATCTTTTAATCTCCAGTTCTCACTTGGTTTCTTTCCCCCTCCAAATGTCACAAGGGAGTGAATGGGGTTTTTTTTGCCCTTCTATGCTTTTTAAAATATTGGTGACTCATTGTCGCTTCTAATGCCAGGTTCTAGAGGGACAAGGATGTTCAAAGCAGAGCAGACACGTGGCAAGATGGGGATGGAATTCAGGTGAGACTGGACCAAGCTGGATGGGTGGGAGGGTTTCTTAGGCTGCGTGTTTTGCTTGTCTTAACACATGACGTCAAAGCCCTGGACAACACGGAAGGGACTCAGGTGCAGAAAGAAACTCCCTCTCAGTGTCGAGGTGGCCAGTCTTCAAAGACACAAGTGAGGAGAAGGACTGTCTTGAGGTGAAGGCACAAGTGCTGGGATTCAGGAGGCTAGGGCTCAGTTCCTAGTTCTGCCACTGACTTCCTGTGTAGCCTTAGGCAAGTCACTTTCTCTCTCCCTGACTCAGTGCCCCGGCAGTAAAATGGGAATAACGCTTCCTTTGTGTGTCTGTCTTGTCTATTTAGATGCTCAGCAGTATGGGGCAGGAGTTGTCTCTTACTTAGTGCACGTACAGCATCTAGCATGACTGGGCCCTAATCTCAGCTGACGCCTCTAGGTAATAATGGCCTGGTGGCGGCCATCAAAGGCAGTGGAAATCAAGTAGCTGAAAAACCCTGCGTGACCTCTTTGGAAATTCAGCCTGAACAGCCTCCAGAAATGGTTGGGCTATCTGGACTCACACTTTACAATTATTATCTTCTTTCTTTTCTTCAGGATTGCCCCATCCTGCCACCCAGCCGCCCCCTTTCCTCTCCCTATCCCAGCACTGATCCATTCCCTTCAGCTGCATCACCTGTGTCCAGCCCCCTCCTTAGCTCTTTACTGCAAGTTCCTTAACCTTTTAGCATTTCTTTCCAAGAGAGGGGTTCTTTGCAGCTGCCCAAACTTTGGTCAAGGACAAATTTGGGGGGCGGGATCTGGAGAAATCTCTTTAGGTTCTACTCCCAAACTCGTCTGCAGAGATGCACATGCCCAGTCCAGCTCTGTTCTTGGGCCACGAGAACTGTACTGCAACTCCTCTCAGAACTAATGCTTGCTTTGTTCCTCAGTTGGGTTCCAGAGGTCGGAGTCCCCACTGGCCATGCCAGTGAAAGGGTTAAGTCAAAGCGAACCCAGGCTTCCTACATGCCAGCAGATGCTTGTGCTACCATAGGTCAAAGTTCCTTTCGATTCTGAAGCCTAGCGATCCTCACAGCTCCCCAAATCTCAATATTTTAACTCCCCATCCCAGAGCTGCGAACCACAGACTTACGGTGCCTCCCTTCTTCCCTGTTTGTGTCTGCAGCTGTGCAGGAGGAGAGGCAGCGAGGGAAGGACCGAAATGAGAACGAGGTGGAGTCAACAAGTAGCGCCAATGAGGACATGCCCGTGGAGAAGATCCTGGAAGCTGAACTCGCAGTGGAGCCAAAGACAGAGACATACATTGAGGCAAATATGGGCTTGACTCCTAGCTCGGTAAGGACGCCTGCCCCTTTCCCCTGTGCGCTAATGCCATCCCATTTGTGGGAATGCAATGGAGTGAATCGGTGGTAAGGCCTTGAATGCTGTCACTGCATGACTATACAGACAAGCATGGTTAAGGGGAAAGGGGGGCCTTGGGCACTGGGACCGCAGGAGAGCTGTGTTCTAGTCCCAGCTCTGCCACACCTATCTGTGTGACCTTGGATAAGATGTTTGATTGCCCTGTGCCTCAGTTTCCCCATCTATAAAATGGGAATAACACTTCCCTTCCTCCTAGAGGTGTAGTGATGAAAAAACCATTGCATGTCTGTGAGGTGCTCAAGTGCTAGTGATGAAGTGCGGTTAGGAGCGTACATAGAAATGATCTGTATTGTGGGAACACAGCTTGTTCTACTGCATGCTGTATAAACAATGGAGTAAAAGCCTTGCCTTGAAAAACTTGCAATGAAAGGAACCCTATAAACACACCCTTTATCACTAAAGTGCAAAAATATTGCTGTATGTTTTTAAACACCACAAATTTGAGGATTATTTGGATCCACTGTAAAATTTATATATACTGTATATATATGGATGAGGGCTTGGACTTTAAACCCACTCAGTGTTCTGAGGTGTTTGGATCCAGAGTTGTGGTTCAGCCCCTTCGAAAGGTGTGGACTCTAGTGGGACCCTTTTTGAACAGCAGATGCCCCATAAATAACCCACACATGGTCCCACCACTCCCATTAAAGAGCCCTGATTTATAGAGAGCATTTGTTTTTCTCATTTAGGTGGTTGTTCTCAGCTATAACAACTCAGGCCTTATTGTCTATGAACTCCTGCTCCTCTGAGAATAGCTGCCATATTAGGGGAGGTCACCATGCAGTTTGAGCAAATTTATAATGCATCAGGCTCAGTGGGTGTGGCTAGTGACTCCACCCCAAAACCCTTCCCTTGGTTTTAACCAGGGGAACACTGGGGTGCTGGAGGACTGGGAAGTCTCTTAAGTAGAAACAACTGGTTGGAGGGAGGGGAGAAACAGTTGTTGTCATTTTACTTTTTTGCCCATGTTGTTTGAGCCGATATCAGTCATGCATATTGAGTTTGCAGCTTCACTTGTGAAAAGGGCAGCCCTATAGAATGGCTTGATATATAAAAACAAAAATGGAACTACCTGGCCTGAATGAGTTTTTCCTTGGGGGAGGGGATAAGGGCCTTATAAAGTCCAAATGGTCCTAACTCTTCACAGTCTTGCTGGTGGTGGGGTGGGAAGTATAGGTTTCTTACATTTCTATGCAGTAAAGCTCATAGGGAGATTTCTGATTATTAGCATTTAGAGATCTTTGCTATAATGCATTGTAGTTATGTTCCTCCCTACTGCCAAACATTCAAAAGTCATGCATCAGGCCCCCACAATCATATGATTTTTTTAAAGTAAACTAATAAATGGGGCGGGGGGTGTATTTTTTTAAGCCTTTAAAGTAAACTTGGGTCACATGTTTCCAACTTTTCTCTGTAATTATCAGGGCTACAAACTAGGGTGCTGTTTTAAATGAAAGCTGAGCTTTTCGTGTACTGCCATGACTCCAGCATCTGGAGCATTAAGAACCACATCAAGTATTGTGAGGCTTGTGGTGCAATCATGAGAGCTGGCAACACTGAGAGTTATGTTTATGCACTATGTGGTGTTAATCATTTTGCTTAATCTTGTTAAGGATTTGAGAGTTTGATTCTGACTCAAGTGACACTGGGCACTTCAGAGAATAAAAAACTGCGGGATAAGATAGGGTGGAGGGTGAACGCTCAGAAAGCAGCTAATAGTTGGGGGGGGGGGGGAAAGGGCAGAGATTACTATATTTTTTTCTTATAATCTATGCATATATTGTATATAAACCATCTACTTGAGCCAGTCTAGCAATGTTCTTCTGTTTCCTAATAGAGAACACAGGCTGCCCTTTAGCTGGGGAAACATGTTTAGTTTTTTGTTTTTTAATTAATTTCTCCTCTTGGGGAAGAGAGTCAAAGTTTAAACTGTCAAAAAAAGAAGAAGATTCATGACCGCATGCTAGTGGGGCAGACCCAAACTAAGTGGGGTAGGTTTGGAAAACTTTACACTCACTGAGCTTTGCCTGCCCCCGGTCCTGGCACAGCTGAATGTCGTAGAGAACCACCAGCTCTCAGCATTAAAATGAATAACTTCTGCGCCACTAGTGGTTTGAGGCCCACTACGCTCAGATCGAATAGATCGGCAGATACGGTCTTCTAATCAACTTGCAACATCTCTGTATACTGCTACAAATTAGCTGATCATTTCTTCAGGTGTTGTAGGGCAGAGCCATGCATAGTAAGGGAGATGTTTGCAGAATGTGTATGAGCTTCCACTAAAAGTCTTTTGTCACTGCACATGTTCTCCCCAACAGCTTCCTCGTTGTCTTCTGTAACTGGAAATCCACGCTGATGATGTAGATTTTTTACCCCAGATTTAATTGCACTATTTCTCCCAGATCCTTTTCCATTCCTAAGGCCTCTTCCTTCAAGAGGTGGTGCTGGATGATGGCAAAAATCTCTACTCAGCTCTTTGCAGAGAGGCACCTCTGCTTTTAATTGTAAGAAGCGTGGGGAGCATGTTCTAAGTCAGTTATTTTGGTTTACTCCAAGCCATGCTAATGTGTCCAGAGCACTCAGAAAGATGCCGTCTCTCCGCTCTAAACTTTGAGTTGCCCTCGTAGTTTATTGTGCTTAGCTCTTCTGGACAAGGAACTGTGCCCGTTTTATTTGTGCGTGAAGCCCCAGGCACACCTATGATGTTGCGTGACATTTGGCAGCACCTGAGCTCTTGGCACCAGCACTGCAATGGGACAGCGATAATATGTTGTAATATCTTATCGTTCTGTAGCATTTTTCCCAGTGACTCCGATACGCTTTACGGGATATCTATGAGAATCATGAAAATGCAGCCACTTTTGGGGTGGGGTATGGCAGCTCTTTCACAGCACGCAGCAACGCTACAAAACAACAAGAGCTGAGCATAGGACTGGGAGGAGGGAATATCCCTGTCTGGTGGCACCTCAGAAAATCACAGATGAAGCTACCAGCCTATGAACTGCTGTGTGCGCCTCTGACTTGTATTGGATAGCTCAGTGATGCACCAAACACTGGGCTCAGATGTACCCTCCTAGGTGTTGGATGCCAGGCTTCCGTTCCTGTTCAAAATAAACAGCAGAGCATCCCCATCAAGCAGTCGGGGCTTCCCTGCAGGGAGGAGCTGGAGATCTGTGCCTCAGTTAATGATGGTGCCTCTGATACTATTCGGCTGTGTGGGCGATCAGGATTAAAAATACTTCAGGGGGAGTTGTCGCCAGAGTTGCACCAACTTGAAAACAAACCCCAGAGAGGGAGCTAAAATAAATGGCTTCATCTGGCACTGTCTCTCCCCTAGCCTCCTGTAGCAAATTGAAAGCTGGTTCCTGCATAATTCAGCACACATTACGGTGAACAAGGATGTGTGCCGCATCTCAATAGAGGCGGGAGGCTTGTTGAAATGTCCTGTTATTGTCAAGCGGCTTCTGTCAATTATGTGACATTTGTAGCAGGTTTAGCAGATGTATGAGATCAGTGGCTAAGCAGTGAGGAGGCTACAGGGTGGGTAGAGAGGAGAGTCTGCTTTCCCCCCGGAGAGCTGTTGTGATGGAAAGGCAGACAAATTCAGTACCTAATAGATTCAGCGTAAAATACAAGCTGATTCCCGTTAGCCCGGTGTGTTGGGTCCTTGTGTTGAAGCCCCCACACCTCGATGTATCTGCTCTCAGCACTGCCACATGGAATTCATCTGGGAGGATGGAATCAGCTGTGATTCCAGGGACTTTCTCCCAGGGCTGTGCCAGATTGGGCTGGCGAAAACAAGGCCTTGTATGAACTAACCCTGTCCTACAACCTCCCTGCCTATAACCAGATCCTTCCCGCCGGGCTACAGTTGCGTGCCTGCAATCCTTGCTCAGGCTGTGGCAATCCTTGCCCAGGTCTGTGAGGCTCTGTAATCTCCAGGAACTGCCCAATCCTATGTAAACCTGGAACAGTAGGAGCAGGACCTCAGCATCGCTCTCCAAGTGGACAGCAGGGGAGGAGAATAAGGGAATTCGCTCCATGTGTGGCCCACCAGCACCAGAGCCCAAACGATCCACCCAGCAGCAACTGTGAGCGGCTCAGGCTGAATGTGGGCACACGAGCAAGATCCAGGGCAGAGCAGGGCTCTGTGTGGGCTGTGTAAAGACCTCAGGCCTCAACTGGCAGGGGGCACGTTGGGGAGAGGCTGTCCTAGGTTTCCCAGGGTTTGAGAGGGGAATTGGAGCAGGTGTGGCTTGTCTCTGGTGAGCTGGCCCAGACCATCGTTGGAGCTGAACGTTGGCTGCAGGGGAGATATTGCAGGTTCCCGCTGAGCCCGCTGGGTGGCAGGAGACAGTGGGATGGGGGAGGGGAATACTAGCTATAACAAAACACTGCATTGACCTGAGTCACCGGACTCCCATGCTCCAGTCGCCTCTCCCGAGCAGAAGGGCTCTAACGCTGCAGTGACCGAGAAGAGACCTGCCCATGAAAATGCTCAGACCTGTCCATTGCACACAAGCTCTGAGAGTTGTGGTTTAAACGGTCGCCCTTAAAACACCTGCTTGGAGAGCGATCGCACCCAAGGGCGGCTCTTTAGTGATTGTCGGTAGCTGCTAATCGTGACGCTGAGCAGTTTTGTCATTTCACACGGCGCCCTGTTTTAAACGGTCTCGGTTTCACGCAGCGCATATTGCAAAACCCTCCCGTGACACTGAGCAGCGTGGGGATAAGCTCATCATGGGGCTTCTCTCGAGGTCTGCACCCAGAGCCACTAGAGCACCTTCATGCCGGGTGTTCTTGGAGCAGCGCTCTGTCCCATCTGTAGGTAGCTGAGCACCTCCTGCAGCTTGGCAATTAGAGGCCAGCATTAAGGTCTCTCTACCGACTCCTATAACTCAGCAGCATGGAAA